GCCTAGGAGTGGAACTAATAGGGCCAGAAGGAAGGATCGCTGTGATGTAGCGAACCCTCCTTCCCCAGTAATGGCTAGCCCTAAAGTTCCCGCCATATGTGCCCCTCCCTGTTATGACCATAATGTTCTGGCCCACTCCCATGTCCGTGGTCCCCCCACCCTCGCCCATAGCTCCCGCATTCTTCAGCAAGCCCTTCGAATCAGACATCCTAAGGCTGGGATTAGACCTAGGCCCCCCTAACACTTCCGCAGAGCACTCAGTGCAGAAGGTACCCGGTTGTGGTCCCAGCCTTCTCAGACATACACAACCATATTACCAAGCAATCCCCACAAAACGATTTAAAAACACAAATACAACAATATAATTAATAAAAGTGGGCACATTCATTCAACCACACTCATACCACAAACACTCACCATACGAATTAAAAAATTGCGCTATAGTGCAAAATTGGATTTGTACAAAAACGTCCTGGTAAGGAAGGGGAAACTGATAACCCAATCTTCTCCAACGGGGAGATTAAGGTCCAAGAGTCTGGAGTAAATAATGAGTTTGCAGCAGTTGGGAGAGTTAAAAAGCACACTCCCTGCCCAGGTCTTCTCTGATCCCAGTCCTCTCTTTCTGCCGAGATGGAAACGCAGATTAGTAGGTAGAAGCCCAAACGGGGATCCCGGGGGGGGGGGGGGCAGAGAAAGAATCCAAAGTCTCGGCTCACTCCCCTCTGGTGTTCCGGTAGACAAAGGTGGGGGCAGGGGTGGCCGAAGAGCCAGCAAACCATAAATGGCAACAGTTATAGAAATGATGGTCGGAAGGCTGGTCATGGTCAACAGTAGCCGGGATAGTAATGGACAGAGCACAGTCTCCCGCAGCAGGCAAAATCCTTGGGGGGGAGGGGACGGAAAGAGAGAGGGAGGGGAAAACCCCTCTCAACAACTGGGCCACAACCTTCTCAGGTGGTGCCAGCAATCCAGCAGACCATCGGGCTAGTAACCCCACCCCCACCCTAGCCCTGACACTGACCCTAACCCTAACCAGCCCTAACCCTAAACCTAACCCTAGCCCTAACACTAGCCCTAAACCTAAGCCCCACCTCTAAACCTAACCCTAATCCTAGCCCTAACCCTAACTAGCCCTAACTTTAGCCCTAATCCTGAACCTAGTCCTAAACCCCCAGCAGCACAGCAGCGGTTGGGTAGTCAGGCAGCAAAGCAGGGGTCAGGCCCCTCCCAAGACGGGCCTCCAGGCAGCTGAGATCGCCACGATTAGTGGCAGTTGCAGTAGTATCTGGGATTCCCCCACGCAGGTTCCTCCAAAACGTCCTCCAGGGCCGCTGGGCCGCGGCGTTCATAACCGCAGCATTCTCAGGCGGCCTCCTTCGGTGTTCTCCTACAGATCGTTCAGCTCCTGGCAGCTGCAGCGGTCTCAAGCCGTGGCGCTCACCGGCGGCCCCGACGCCCTCCGAGTCTGGGTCATTGCGTTCTCAGTTTGACCGCAGCAATCATAGGCCACAATGCTCACAGCCGGTCACGTGCTCAGTGGCTTCGGCGTTTCTCAGCGAGTGGACAGCTGCCCAGTTCCTGGCAGCCACCCAACTCCTGACAACCATGGTGCTCTCACTCCCGGATGCAATGATCTCAGGCGGCCAGCGAACACAAAAGCGGCTTCAGCAGAATTTCCCGGATGGCTGGCTACAGAGTCCCTGAGCAGCGTTGGCGTATTCCATGTCCAGAAGCTCTGGAGAGGCAAGTCTCCCCAATAGGCTGCTGGCACGGGTGCTCTGGGGGATTTTTACCTTCCTCAGCCTCCGCAAAGCCTGGTTCCTGGACAAATTTTCACTTCCTCCAAGCTATTTTCACATAGACTGAGCCGGAGCGAAAGGCTCGGCAGCCATCTTCCTTGCACATGCGCAATCCCTTCAATTAATCAAAGTTAAGCCTAACTATGCTTAGTAGGTTTCAGTTGCTAAGTTTCTCAGCTGTTTTCCAACAAGAGAGGNCTTCTGTCTTGTGTTGCATCTGTGTTTAGTAAATCTTTTTTAGTCCACTGTCCAGAGTTCATTAATTCAAAAAGCCAAACTTCCAAGTCACAATTTTAAATGTCTCATCAATAGTCCAAAGAATTTAAATTCACCAAGAGGTTATCCACACCTTTTCAAATTACTTTATATGTTCAATAATATTCAATGTTCAAGGGCTCTTAATTGAAGTCCTTAGTTAATAATAAAATCTCTAATGGTCTTAGAGTAGGTTTGTGTCCATCAGATATTTCCAATCTTTTTGAATAGTTATTACCAAGCTTACATATTTCCCTTTTCATCAGCAGATGACGCTCTTGCTTCTGTCTGCTTCAGCCTCTCTACGATATTGTTGACAGTTCCAATTTCAATTATTTTTAAATTATAAATCCAATAATTGAGCAATGTTTGTAAAGAGAAATTTGAGACTTTAATTCCAGCATTTTAAAATGCTCTCAATACCATGTCTTTTAGCTTTGAGGAACCAAGTTTCTATTTATTATTTAAAAAGCAGATTTTTTTCCTTCTTCAATTCTCCAGTGTTTTTCCTAGTTTCCTAGTGCCCATTCGTAGCTTCAACATATAGCTTTAAATATGTTTCCCCTTTGGATTTCTGGGGTCATCATCCAATAAAAAATATTTTCTCACCCAGATCACACTCCATTCATTTTCTCCACTCCAACACTGTCTTGGGTATTCAGGCTGTCCCCGGCTTCATGGTAGCCATTGTGGCTTCCGCTACTCGTCTTCAGATGAGGGGGCTTTCCAAGTCAAGGAGGAGAAATGAGGCTCTCCTCTACCTGCCAGGCAGTCCCCCTTTACTTTACCAATGCTTCAGGGTGGTTATAATTCGAATTTGGATCCTCCAACAGGGAGAGGTCGGAGCTGACCGCAGAGCTTGCAGATCAGGCTTCTGAAGATGCTGGAAGTACAGCTGGAAGTCTTGTTCCCCATCATTTCTGTTCTCACCGTGATACATTACATATTACTGGAAATGACCTAGATTAAGCAACAGCAAAACGATATGTTTGTGGTTGAAACCTAGGATGTAACACTAGACTTTCTTCAATTTTTAAAAATATTTTTAATCCTTATTTTCTTTGGAATTCTAATCACTGATTGAAAAAAAATATGACTGATTCCTTCTACTGTAGCTAAACATTGAACCTTCAGAAGATCCTGAAGAAAGCTTGAGATTACAGCAGCTACAGGCAGCAGCAACACAATGGCAGCAACATCCACAACAAAGAGTGGGTTTCCAGTATCAAAGAATAATGCAAAAGCATTCACAGTTGCAACAAATTTTACAACGCTATCAACAGATTATACAACAACCATCACATTTGTCAGTAAGTTGTTTAAAACAATATAATTTTACTTACTTCCAAATAAGTAAAATTCTTATTGGTTTTTGTTTTTGTCCCTTTGAGAAAGTGTTGATTCTTGGCTACTCCCTGAAACGTTTCTCGCAGTTTTTTGATAAGATTTCAGAAGTGCCATTGCCTGCTTTTTAAGGCTGAGAGAGTGACTGGCTCAAGGTCACCTATCTGGTTTCATGCCTAGGACAGTACTCACAGTCTCTCAGTTTCTAGTTCAATCACTATATCAAACTGGTTTTTGAGTGAAATTACTGCTATATTTTAATTATGAAATACAACTTAATAGTTATTTACTGTTTTACTTATTTTGCATAGGTTTTTTCCCCTGTATCTAGGTACACACAATTTGTCATCCCTCAGCAGTCTTGGATCACGGTTCATATAATCCCACACATATAGGGTTATTTCAGGTTAAAATTTATGGGAGTTGAATTTTAGCATTTATTATGTTAGAGAATGCTGACAACATATTTGCTTAGTATTCTTATTCTTATTCTAGAAATTATACATCAATCTTAGAAGTAACACTACTAATATTAATATCACTTTCTCCAGTGCACTGCTCGGAGAGTCCAATGCTGGGTTAACACAGCCTATCTGCCCTTGGACTGAGTGATGTTTTTA